ATAATGTTGAAAAATTCAAATATCTCTCTTTATGTGCAGAAAATTAACCGAAACGTGTTTTCCGAAACTCTCGCCGAGCAAAGTACGGATCTATGAACTATACTGTGTACACTTAGGACTGACTACATCAACTTGCGTTCTGGAACATTCTCGCAGACTGGCAGCTACCATCTGGGAAGTCACCGGGGTGCCAAATAACCTTGCGGATATATTCTAAAATCGCATTCTCTAAATAAACAGTTTTAGTTAGTTCTGTATAATTTTAATTTAATTTTGTCTAGATTTTCTCAATATCGATATTTTTCGAATTTTAATGTTAAACTTCCATATGTCTTCAATTTTAAATTCTCCAAAAGTATCTTTTAAGATATTTCAATTTCTCTGTGATATTTAGATTCCTAAACACTTTCGTATACGTTCGTATACAATTTTTGGATCTTCGCTTTTCGCGATATTAATTTCGTTTTTTTTTTGGTTGTAGGTTATAGATAATAAAAACTGTTTTTCTAAAAATTCACCAAGTATATGATAAAAATGCATAATTGCAAAATTGCAACATTTCAAATTTAATATTTCCATGTTAATCAATATGAAATAGCCAATTTCAATAACGAGATTAACAATGGAAAGCTTTCCTTATTTATCGCGCGTAAATGTTACATATATATTTCTATTTGTAAATGAAAAATTAATTAGGATATTATTAATTTATGTAATTAATCATAAGTGTTATCAATTGTTTTATTTATACAGCACAAAATGAATAATCATTTTGCGCCCTTTATTTACAAAATATATTTAATAATCAGTGCATATTAATTAAAAGCTTACATATTTTGTAATAAAACATATTTAACTTCATATAGATATTTAATGGCACAATAAACGATATAAATCAAATGAATATGAAATAAGAAACAAAATGGGTTATTAATCTTTTGTCGAACCTTTAATTATTTTCGAATTTTTTCGCAAAATTTAAGGCACCTATAAATAGAATAATCGATACAAAAATCGCTTCTAATCGTCAAGTAAACATATTCTTCTATCAATAAATCAAACACAGTTTTCTTTAGATTTCTTTTAATTCTTTTAAATTCTTTAAATTTTTATCTTCTAAAATATTTTTAGATTTTCTTTCCTTCGATTCTGCACTTTTTATAACACTAGAATATCTTTGTTTCTTATATTTTTTTCAGATTCTTTCAAATCTTCGAATTTTTGAACATTTGAAATTTGAGAGAACCTGAAAGCACAATTTTTCCAGGCTTTGGTTTCTCCACTCAAATGTCCAATGACTTCCTTGTGTTGCATTTGTTCAGATCTGTCTTTTTTGCTACCTGGCAAGACCTGGGATAAAATTAAGTACTATTGAAAAAAACAAATTTACGCTATGCAAATATAAATATTACATCAATAAAATTTTGTTCGTAATTTATTTTGTTTATTGAAAACTTGAAAAGTTTTTATTGGAAAAAAAAAAAAACAATTTTCTCATAGAAATTTTCTTTTAAAAAAACTTCTATAATATATCCCTTCAATTTAATTAAATATATAAATAAATAAAAATATTTTTTTCTGAAATTTTTTCTTTGTTTTTCAATTAGTTCTGATTTTTCAAGAAGATACGCTTTTAACGATCTTCTCATCCCTTTTCCTTTCCTACTTATTTTCTTTGCTCCTAGCCCCTCACCTGAGAACGGGGGAGCTAAGGGATACAGCAGCAGAACATTCGTCAGAGAAATCTTGTTCCGGAGTAATGCTTCTTTCTCGGGAATGCACCTGGGATGTGTTTGGATTACGACGTACTTTCTTCATTCCTGGCATGAAATCGGGATTACCTCGACCTCGACCTCTACCTCTACCCATGCTTGTCTCATTATCTTGACAGATTGACTCAGTGACAATTTCTGGAACGGGACGTCTACTGTTAGTGCAGGAGGAGTTCTGCGTAACATCTTGTTGTTGGTTGCTATCTTCCTGTAGATTGCTACGTCCCGAGCGACGTATTTTTTCCTGATTTATAACGCTTTTAGCAATACAAGCAGCGGTATTGCGGGACTGTGTCCAGCTATTAGAAGTAACTGGCTGAGCCTAGGATAACATTTTGTGCATTGAGATTAAAATTTGTTTTAGAGTTTGCAATTTTAGAGTATTCTCAAACATTTAGTGTAATATCTAACAATGAAATATTTAAAAAGTAGAGAAAATTGCATCGGCATTAAATTGTTACTAAAAAATATCGATTTAAAATTAAAAAAAATTTTTTTTAAATCTATAAATTGAGAAACATGCGATTGACTTAAGAAGGTTCTGGCGTTTGATGAAATATTAAAATAGAAGACTATAATATACATGTAATATACAAATGTTAATAATATCAATATTCAATATCTAAAAAAAATTTCAATAACTTTTCCATTTTGAAGATATTTAATTTTAAATTTATAGAATTTTACATTACAAGTTGGAGGTATAACCTTATTCTTCTTTAGTTATTCTCTTTTACAATAAATTAAGACACTTGTGTATAAGACAGCAATTTAAAAATCGTTATAATTATAAAGTAAACACTTAAGTTTGTTCCCGTAAAGTTTCATTTAAACTGACCATACAGTTTACAAGAAATTTAAATTCTTCAATGAAAAAAGCTAGAATATATGCCAAATGGGTGATGCGTATACATCAAATGAGCATTTTACAACTTTTATTTTATCATTTTGAAAATATTTAGTAACATATAAAATTAATAATAATTATGTATAGTGACATAAGATATTGTTAGTAATCTTTTTTTTCATTATTTTAATTGTTTTACGTATTATTATGGATAAACTGTCTATTAACTAGGAAGTAGCGCGAGAACCTCCTTAAGATATTCTATGTTTAATTCAAATTTTTAAGATGACATACACAGGATGGGATTTGTTCCTTCTGGAGACGCATGTCATCGCTGATTTTCATCTCGTCTTTTGTCGAGGAATCGATTTTCTCTGAAAAGCAATTCTCCCTATTTGCTTTAGAAGTCCTCTCGTAGCCCTCACCGTTCATCTTCATTTTCCTGATCAATCGCTGCGCTGCGATCTTATCTTTCAGTTCGCGCACTTGCCTCTCCAATTCAGCTACTTCCAGGTCGGACTCACATACTTTCGGAATCAGTGACATTAAATGCCGTTCGGCAGCTTTCTGGATCATCATAGCGGAATCTAATCCACTTTTCCTCGTCATATCCAACCTAAAGAATACATATCTAATTAATAACATAATTATCATTTTACAATATTGAAATATTAGATAATCCAAAAGTCAATTTTACAAAATACTTTTATAAAATAAATGTCTTCTGACAATCAAATATTGTATTAGATTTCATTCATCATATCAATAAACAAAAATTATAAAAATTATAAAAATGTTTTTCAATTTTAAGAAACACAAAATACATAATTTAATAAGATTATTTAATGGTTGCTGCACTAATAAATATTTACTCACTTTAAAGATTCTATCAGTTCGGTGAAACCATCAGGTAAGCGTGCAGATTTCCTAACAGGTGTTGGTTTATAATCTGAGCCATCATGTCTAGAGGCATCATCACCTAAATTGTTTATTCTCAAAGGAATTGGCTCAAACATCCTAAAAGTATAAATTGAATGTATCAAGGTACAATATAAAAAAACTTTAGTCGCATTAATTTTTTTCGAAATATATAAAAATATTTATACTTATTTATTTTATTGTCTATTATTTATATTATATAATTTACATCTTAAATAGTTGTTTGTAAAAATTGCTGTAGACAATTTTACATTAATACTCAAAAGAAAAATTCAGATTAAAGATTGGCTATGTTTAAGTTGGACGAAGCGTCTAGCAGTTTACTCGCCAAGCGATTGAATATGATTGATTAGATTTAAAGTAAAAGAACCAATCACGTTCAATCGCTTAGCAAGCAGGCTAGTTGCTTTGCCAATTTAAGATCCTTTTAGATTTGAATTCTTCAAATTTGTAATATGTAATGCTAACCCTCGTTTATGCCTTAAAAACACATGTCGGAACTTGTGGGTGCCACGTGTTTCGGAGATGGACGCGTTGAGGAGGCAAGTAAGGAAGAAATCTTCCCTACTATTTACACTGGAGAAATGCGAGGCAAATTGCTTATGCAATATCTTGTCCCTCATTGTTGGAGTCAAGCTACTAGTGTTTCTGCGGAAACGGAACCAACCAATCACCTGCTTGCTCTTATCACGCACAAAATCCTTCAATTTCTCTTTGTTGATCCGACCACTAGAGTCGTACAAAAGATCACTCAGAGGACATGTCACAATGGTTTCCACATCTAAAAATGTTTATAACATTTTTAATAGTAGGATAAAGAATAATAATAAAAATAAGGAAGTTGATAAAGTTTTATCTTATTCCGCTTGTTAGTTTATATTTTTAGATTAGTCTTCTCAACAATGTAGATAGTAGAAAAGATATTTAAACATTTGGTTTCAATTAAGTTTTATCAATTATCTTATTCTGGTTATTAATTTATATTTTTAGATTAGTCTTGCCAACAATGTAGATAATAGAAAAGATATCTAAACATTTTGTTTCAATTAAGTTGACACATATGAATACAATTCAATATCTAAACATATTTTATAGTTTTTCTGAAAAAACATAAAACCATTATTATCTAGAGTATGATCGTAAGTTAAAATAATAATATTCATTACGAATATTATTTTAATTTATAATTATTTGTTCTATTTATATATATAATTTTTATTAAATAACTATACTCCTCTTGTACAGAAATACATGCTAGTCTTCTATTTTAATTTTCATACAAAATAAATTCGTTTTGATAAAGTTAAAAGTTTGTATAAC